TTTGATATCGACTTCAATACATTATCAAATTTTGATGGTAAATAGCTTGACTGTTATTTGCACATTCTGAAGATTGATTTAAGTAGATCTAGGTTCTGAATTGCCAGAATATCAGTGTTCTCCCTCATTATATTTGTTTTCCTATTGCACATTATGCATTACGATACTAACAACATTATTTAACGGGGAAAAAAAAAATCTGATCCAACTCAAAGCTCCAGATTATTAGCATAATTTTGATCAAAAAATGTACAAAAACCAAATGAAGATCTTGAATCAGTCTTAATACAGTTAGGGGTGGAGCCTGGGGGACAAAAAAATTGTACCGGGCTGATACATTGAAAATAAATAAATGAATTTTCCTATAAAAAAAATGCATTATAAAATTAATTGGGCTTTGAGGCGGGTCTGGACTAAAACTGGTAGCTCATTCCTTGAAGCAAGCACGACAAGACATATTCCAGAAGCTATAAAAGATCTGAATGTTGATTTTGCTTTACAGGAAAGAAAATGGAAAGGACGACATGAGGAACAGGACATGCAAGATTCTCACCCAGTCCAGCCAACATTGTTTGAACCATGTTCATATCAGTTGGGATCATGTTAGAGTTCCCCCACATCACAGAATATATATATTGTCATCTAGTATTAAGGATCTGGAATTATTATGACATCAGCAAATCCAAGGAAATAAAATATGACATCAGCAACTCCAAGGAAATAAAGTAGACATGCTATTTCAAAAGAATTAGGCCCTGTTCTCTTTGTGTTTCGGTTTTGTAGTTTTGAGTTTTGAATTCATTTTGTGTTTTGTGTTTTCAGGGTCTGTTTTGAAATTGTTGAAAATTCGTTCTTTTTGTTGTTTTGCAAAACTCTTTCTCAAAACACAAACATGAAAAACGCGTTTGTTTTGAAATTTTCATAATAATTTTTTATAATATTTTGTTGAAAAAACCGACACAACACCACCACAAAGCCGACCAAAATCAATACCACCACTAGTCACCATTGCCAACCACTGCCAAAATCGACACCAACACCACCACCCATCAACCACAACGCCACCACCAGTCACCATTGCCAACCACTGCCAAAATCAACACCAACACCACCACCCATCAACCAAAATCAACAACTGCCACCACCAAAATCGAGACCACCATTACCACAATTTGCCACTACCGCTGCCACCACATAGGAAGGAAATCGACAACAGAGGGGGGATACGCAGAAAACAGAGAAGAAAGAAGAACCACATCAATTCAATTCATCAAACATATCATCACAGTAAAGATTAATTCAACAAATTCAGCTACCATGTCACCGTCGTCGACTGTTACCACCACCATCAAACAAATCAACACCAACACCACTACAACCATCAACTGCCATCAGATCGAGGAAAAAAAAAAAAGAAAACCAACTGCGCAGAGTGAAAAGAGGACGAACTACAGCCGACGTCGAAGAGCACGTTGCTGCGGCCTTCGCTTCTGCAAACCCTAGCCATCGCCGAAGAGAGAAATAGAGACGAGCCCAGACTGGTAGCCTTGCGATGAATGGGTCACGGCGTGGGGAGGCGACGCTGTGACACCCCACGCTGACGCCGGCATCAACGCACATCCTTCGTCGCCTCCCCATGCCAGCGCCAGCAAAAGAGAGGAGGAAGAGAAAGTGCAAGTGTACAATGAAGAGAGAAGAAAGATGGAAGAGTCTGAAGAAAACGCGAAGGTGCAAGTGTGCCGCCTGTTTTCCACGTTTTCATTTCTTTTCTATTTTTGTGAAGAAAACGCCCAAAACGTCAAACTTGACGTTTTGGGTTTTCTTCAGAATTATTTTTTTTGTTTTTGAAAACTCGTTTCTGAAAATGGAAAAAAGAACACGTTTTCATTGTTTTCAAAAATCGAAAACAGAAAACGACTTAAAAACGACAAAGAGAACAGGAGCTTAATGGTTGGAGATGGCATTGACCAAGTAACCACACAGTGTAGACATCGACTTGAGACCTTGGAGATTCTAGATTGGTTCATTATCAATAACAAGAATGATGTGAAAAAGAAAAAGATGCTGTCATGTATTCAAACAAGCTAACCAGCCTCAAAATACTACTGTAAACAATAAATTATCATGACCAACTAACCATAAAAATTTCCATAATCATTATATGCACACTTTATTTATGCTATGTAGAGGAAAATAAGGCGTAAAATATAGCGAATGACTTCACCTGTGTTCGTCCTCTGTCCAAGCAATCCCCTTGCGTCGCTCCTGATCTGGCCCGTTACTCTTGCCTCCATTACTGGAGTTGCTGTTTAAATGCCCAACATTACCACTTTTTCTACGAGTTCCTTCCTCGCTAGCATTGCTTGTTGTACCATCTGAAGAAGAATTATAACAAGGCAATGGCACACAACCAGACTCAATATGGTTAACATCGTCAACTAAAAGCTCATAATGATCTTTAACCTCTTCGATCGATTTTCCGGAAACATTGTCGGCAATTTTCTCCCATCTATCTGAAGATTCTTCGGGATAACTTGCTATTGCCTTTTCAAATTGCAAATCCTGCTCTCTACTCCATGTAGGACTACTCGAATCATCGGGCAGCATTACTGGCTGTTTTTATCCTCAAGAAACTGACAAATGGATCCTGCTCAGTACTCTTAAAAAGGAAATGCAGTAAATTATATCTTCATCTTGAAATTTGGATCTGGGTAATATTAAGACTCCAAAATAGCCAAGTGAACTTCACTAGAAACCAGTAGTAATAAATACAAAGAAGAAATTAATGATTCAAAAATTATAATCTCATGAAATGATAAAACCCAACAGGAAATAAAATTAAAATAACAACAAAGGATGCAATAAAAGGCAGTTAAGAAAAGGAATCGAAATGAAAGGTGAAGGTAAATTCAATAAATGGCTAGAAGTCAAAAATGGATATTAAAAAAATATGGCATTAAAATTGTCCTCACCTATCTCCACAAAAGCCCTAAATTGATTGCAGCACAACCCAATCGCACACCCACGGTAAGGATGAATTATACAAAACTTTTACAGTCCAATTCCAAGGCTAATAGCTTCTCTTCTCTACCGAGTAACCACACTGTAACCAAAAAACACCACATGCAAATCGTGAGAAAAGAAAATGTAGAATGTAAATGAGAAAGTAGAGAAATCTACAGCTGAAGCAGAGGATATCAAATCATTGTTCTCTATCAGAAAAGTGAGAATAAGTCGAATTTCGAATTTCAAAATGCTCCGAAAATTGTGGTTAGGACTGAAGGTTGGGATTATCGTAATAGTTTGTTTGAGAAAAGATAAACGAAGATGAATAAATTCCTTTTTTTCAGAAAAATAAAGGTAATAATTATTGTTAATAATTGGAGCAGGGTGGACTGTCCACCGTGCTTGAGTTGCTTATCTACGATTTATAAAATATTAAGAGCCGGTTTGGTACATAATAAAATCTAATTTTAATTCAAGTTAAAGTCAAATAATTAATATTAATTACGTCCTTTATGGATCCCACAACTTTTAAATCACATATTTCAATAATTTCTATCAGAATATATTAAAAAATCTAATTTTAATTCATACAAAACACCATCTAAATAGAGTTAATTCATTAATGGTCATTTAACTTTACACTTAATATCATTATGACCACTTCATTTGATTTTATTTGATCATAGTAATCTAACTTTATACTTAAGCCTCGTTCAATTGCCATTTTTGTAAGAATGAAAATGAAAAATATAGTCGTTACGGGACTCACACAAGAAAAAAAAGTCAAATATAAAGGTTTTATGTAATAAATAACGGCCATATGTTTCATTTTTGTGGCTAAAGAATGAAAATCAAACGGGGAATTAGTGTTATCTTGATATCTCAATTTAATTTTATTTTACCATGACCACCTAAATATCATATAACGTTTCACCTTGGCCAACCAACTTCTTTTCATTCTTTTCACTAATTTCAAAAGTTGCTTAAAAAATAAAATAAAATTAAAACGTTTTTAAAAATAAAATAAAAATTATTTTAAAAAAGTTGCATATAAATATAAAATAAAAACTTATTTTAAAAAAAAGTTACTTATAAATATAAAATAAAATAAAAAGTTATTTTAAAAAAAGGTTCCTTAAAAAATAAAATAAAAACTTATTTTAGAAAGGATTACTTAGGAAAATAAAATAAAATAAAAACTTACTTTTAAAATTAAAAAAAAAACTTTTATTTTTGTTTATTTAAAATTTATTTTATATATATAATACAAAGTTTCCATTTCACCCCTTTTAAAACTAAAATGAAAATGGTGAAAAGAAGTTGGATGTCCATTATAAAATGTGATATAAAATTGGGTTATCATAGTAAAACAAAATCATATTGGGTGGTTATGATGGCATTAAGTATAAAGTTTGTTGGTCATGGGTGGATTTAACCCGTATTAAATATTACTAATGGAGGATCATGCGTTGCACGATGACTATTATAATTCTGTAAGAGATTTGGTTTTTTTTTTCTTTTTTAATGTGCAGACTTTGTTTATATTTATTATGACTACTTAATGAGATACATAATTTATAATGTTTACAATGTGAACTCATTACCATGATGGCCATCATTGATGAAGAATGTAAGGATAATGATTCAAAAATTTGTCATGGTTAGAGTTGAGATAATTAAGTTTCTCCAAAATAATTCTACATCAACTTGCAAGGCAATGTAGAATTTTCAAGGATTGCTTATTGGGTTATCTGTTTCTTCTCTGCTTGCTAATACAAACTATAACAAGTAAATAAAAAACGATACAAGGAGAATACGATTCTTGGGAAATTACAAAGAAAATGTACATAAAGAACTTTAAAAAATAATACAAATCATGAAGTCAACTGTACATTTGAATGAACAATATTTTCATTGTTTTCTAGGGTCTGTGGTTAATGAAAAATCATACATAGAGGACACGATTTAAGGGAAAGAAGAAAACTATATACATAAATAGTTACAAAAAGATGTGAATAATTATATTTCATAGATACGTCGACTTTATTTATATAACATTTTGCATACCTATCCCAATTCATTAATAAGAATGAAGTTTCCAAAAACTAAGCTGAACTTTATGACATATTCCAGCAGTGTAATATGATATCATATACAAAAATCTTCTAGCAAAAAGCAAAAGGACTTCAAAATAACAAAATAGAACTAACTTTAGTTGCACTTGAACTGGTAAAGGTATGGTAAAGTCCATTTTTCTTTGGATCAGCATTATTGCCAAGAGGGTTTGCATCCTTGTTTTGAACATTAGGATCGCTGGATGTTGCCATTCTTTACTTTTTCAGTTGTTCGATGTTTTCCTTCTCGAACACTAAGCTCCTTCGTGCATTAGGCACATTGGTGCAATATGAGACATTTTTTTCCTTAGCCTGATATGGAAACAATGATGCAGATCTTTGTGCATGTGCAGAGCTGTTATTAAGAACGTAGATTACATCAAACCTTGGTTGATTGGTTTTTGAATTTGGGTTTCCAAATTTCATGTAAATAAAATGGTCTTCAATTGCATAGCTGGAGTCTTGAGCATTGATAAAGTGTTCTAACTACATAAAGAACATATAAGATTTAATGTACATATGTACGTAAATGGAAAATACTGGTAAATGTAACAATTTATATAGAAAATTTTACCGTTATACTATCTTTCATTAGTTTCTCAGCTGGAAGTTTCAAGAAATTTTCAGCCACATCACCAAATAAAGATGCAGTAATAGTGCCGGTGTTATCTGAAAGCTGAACATTGCATCTTGCTCTGGCAAAAATGCACATAGGTAGTATCATGTATTCTGAATTTAATAGAAATTCAACTATATGTACATCAATAATTTGGTGTACATAATTTTATATTTATTGGTTGTTACCTTGAAATTGTTCTTGCATGCATGTGTTTGCAATAGTTGCAAAAATACATTTCATTGAGTTGAGCGAAAGATATCCAACCATAGGTATCACAAGCCATATACCAAAGTGATTGAGTCACTGTCTTCAATTCTATCTTTCCTTTTATCCATAATGGCTTTCGCTAAAATAGGTAGAAGGAATGTTACCATTTTTGCTGATATAAATATCTATTTACCATACAATGAAACAAAATAGAAACTACATAAAAATGGTCTTATTTTTAGTATTAGTATTTAATTAACCGTTGGTCAGTGTTCTAAAATGTCCTCGATGTTGATAATTTTATTCTTTGGAGGCGGTGAAATATTTGACGTATTCGGCAAATCATATGTCTTTTGAGTGACCATCTCTGTCAACATCTCTTTGTTTCTTTCAATCCTTGTAAATAAGTGGAAGTCATAAATTTAAGCAAAGAATATGCTCTAATGCTGCGATGAAATGTAGATTTACCGTGTAATATTTTATATATAAAAAAAACGCATGAACACTAACCATTCTTTCATTTCAGCAAATTTTTCGAATTTTGGATTAATGAGGATTGAGCTGTTCGCTTTTATGGACAATGACATTCCTGTTAAATAGAATATAATTATGTAGTTAAGTTATATGGAGTTAACAACAATGATTTATTAAATGTAAAGATAAGATTTTGATTTCATTTACCTCTAAAAGATGTGACTTTTAAATGATTCCCAACAACCACTGGTTTTTTCATAAGGCAGTCAATAATTTCAGCGCCTTGACGGTCGATGAAACTGCCCCAGATAATCAAGATAATAGCTTGCAATCTGAACTGGATCGTATATGGGTCAAGAGATCTTCAATCTGGAATTATCTTTTTTATATTGCAATCCAATCCTTCTTAGTGAAAAATAACTCTACAGACTATGTAGGGGATTAATTGTATGAATTGGAAAACTATTAATTTGTGTTTAAAGATTCATATTATGTATGCATAACTTTCGTTGATAAGAACAATGTCTTGGACAATGGAATTTGCATTTTTGTTGCCAGAAATTCTTCATTTTGGGCGAATATCAACAGCAATGCCAACGAATGCTGCACAGAAAAACATGACCAAGTTTTTTAGGAATACTTATATTTAAAAATATTGTTGTGTACATAAATTTTAGCACACGGTTAGATTTTTTTAATAGTAAGACTTACCTATTTCAACATCCATGTCAATGTAGTTTTCAAGTTCGTCGAATGGTGTAAAATGAAAACATGATTTCACAAGAGGGCTATGGTTTTCATTTAATTTTTCAATTCGGGTTGAACCAATTATCCACTGTTTATCTCCAAAACTTGACCTAAATCGTTCATTCGTTTGCTTCACATATGCATTTGAGATCAAGTATGTTTTCGATGGTACCAAAGTGTTTTCAAGAGCCTTGATATTTTGAGCAAATATTGTTGCTTGGACTTTGTTTTCCTACATGATTTATCAACATAGAATTGCAGCAGGCAAATTTAATTAGCAAAATTATTATATTTTGAAAATTAAACCATGTAAAGTACACCACACAACTTAATACATATATTTCCTTCATACTATGATATAAAATAAATGGAAAAATTCACTGTTACTGGGAAGATATTACCTCAGTATCTAGTAGCCATAAGTGTTGATACATTCCATTTCCTTTTGTGATGTTCGTGGAGCTGTTTTTTCCCCAACTACTACTTTACATCTCCACCCGATTTCTCGTGGAGCAATATCAAGGATTAATTTGTGGTTTGGCGCCATGGGTTCTGGGAAAAAAAAACATATATCACAAAATATCAAATAGTTAGAATGCAAAAGAATGATTAGTGAAGAACGAAGAACACATAAAATCTTGAAAAAATAACATCATGGCAGTAACTATTATCTTTATTTCTGTGAAAGAAAGAAATGTAATTTTGAAAAGATAAGTGAGAAAATAATTTACCTTTTTTCATGTAAATAATTCATAAAACGAATGATGAACTTCTCTAAAGTTTTTAGACATTTTGTATGTAGTATAATGCACATGTTTATATATATGTACAAACATACACACATGCATGTGCAGAGGTAAGCTGTAAAAGTAGGTGAATGAACAAAGAGTGTTGTGGTAGGTATAGAATTCAGGTTGACTGAAAAGGCCATACTGATTAGCTTGACAAGAAAGAAAAGACAATAATCATTAACGTTTTCACCTGTACAATAGATAAAAGAAATAAAGAACAAAACTTATTAATGTTTATTTTTATAATACATAAAGCAAACTTTTTTCATGTAAATAATTCGTAAAATGAAAGATAAACTTTTCTAAAGTTTTTACACGTTTTATACATTGTATAATGCAGATGTTTATATATATATGTACAAACATACACACATGCATGTGCAGAGGTAAGCTATAAAAGTAGGTGAATGGACAAAGAGTGATGTGGTTGGTATGGGATTTAGGTTGACTGAAAAGGGCTTACTGATTGACTTGACAGGAAAGAAAAGACAGTAATCATTAATGTTTTCACCTGTACAATAGATAAAAGAAATAAAGGACAATAATTATTAATGTTTATTTTTATAATATATAATGCAAACCTTTTTCATGTAAATAATTCGTAAAACAAAAGATGAAATTTTATAAAGTTTTTACATGTTTTATATATAGTATAACGCAGATATTTATGTGTAGGAGTGTGTATATATATATATATATATATATATATATATATATATATATATATATATATATATATATATATAGACACACACACATACACATACATGTGTAGAGGTAAGCTGTAAACGTATGTGAATGGACAAAGAATGGTGTGGTTGGTATGGGATTCAGGTTGACTGAAAAGACCATACTGAGTGTGCATAGATTTTGAATTTCCATCATCTGTACGACATACAATCAGCAAAGATAGATATCATAAAAATCCAGTAAGGTCAATCATTCTAGTGTTTAAAAACATCAAGATCATGCTTGAACATCATGTCCTCTACCGTATATAACAACAAATCACACAAAAAAGGATCCTATCATATACATTTACGAACTTTGATGCCTGCAAGCAAAAAATTTGTATGATTAATAGTAGAATTAAATTGAAGAATATGTTATCTTAAAAAAGTAATGAACTAAATAGACTTCTTTTTGCATTTAGTTATAGGAAAAGAATTTAAATGAAATGGGATCTATATCTAAGTATTGGATAAGGTTTCCTTCAAGCAAAAATTTCAATCCGTCTATCGATGTTGCTGGAGTCCACTGTTTCCCTAATAACGGTCTTTATCTACAAAAAAAGAACAAATATAAGCTACCATTCAAGAAGAACTAACTGCAACTAAAATTTCTTTATATACGACATTTTTTTGTACAATTCAAATGCATTTTTTTTCAGTTGGCTTTATAAGAACTTTAACACATTTGCTTGTTTTTGCTCTTGATAGTGCAAGATAAAGTTGGTCATGCGAAAATACAGGCTCGGGTAAATATAATCCAACAAATCAAGAGTTTGTCCTTGTGCTATATTTATACTCATTGCAAAGCACAAACGAACTGAAAATTGAGTTCTTTTAAATCGAATTGGACTCGAATCATTTTCAAGAGGTACAAATGGTATGCGGGGTAGAAAAACTCTCTTTCCTTTATATTCTCCAACAGCAATTGTAGCATCAGTTATGTTCGCGTCAAATCTTTTACAAATAAGCCTAGTTCCGTTGCACAAACCTTCAGATGGATTTATGTTTCTCAATAAAATGACAGGACAATTTAACTTCAAAGTTAATTCATGTGATGGAATACCATTAGGAGTTAATGTATTTAAGAAATCTTCATCAAAATTTTGTGCATCTGTATCTACTGCTTCATCGAAACTATAGTATTTAATAGAATTACCAGGAAATTTTCTATTAATATAGCATTTATAAAATCAACGCTCTCATTCTTTGCACTTAATATAACTGTATTAATCATACGTTCAATATCTTTCGGGTAATCTTTTAACTCCGGATATACAATGTCTATCAATTTTTTCATAGAATCGGCTTCATTATCATGAGCAATAACCATTTCGTTTGGAATTTAAATCATATTGCATGAATGTAAAGGCTCAGTTCCATTTCCAATTCGTAATAGATATTCAGAAAAAGGTAAATCCAATTCGGCCCTCATATTTTAAACCAATTTTATTTTCCGAACAATTGGCCATAAATATGAATTGACAAATGCCGCATTAATTATATCTTCTTTTTGACTCTTTGGAACAACAGGTAATACTTGACGAAGTCACCTCCCAAAACAATTACTTTTCCCCCAAATGGCATTTTATTTTCTATAATATCTTGTAACAGTCTATCCAATGATTCAATAACTAATCTATTTAGCATAGGAGCTTCATCCCATATTATTTATTGTGTCATCTGGAACAATTCAGCCAAAGAAGATTGTTTGCTAATCGAACAAGTTGATTTAGTACTTACCTGAAGAGGGATTTTAAATCTTGAATGTGCAGTTCTACCTCCAGGAAGTAATGCTGCTACTACTCCCGAAGATGTCGTAGCTAAAGCAACCATTCCTTTTGCTCTTACAGCTGCAAGTAAAGAACGATATAAAAATATTTTTTCTGTCCCTCCAGGGCCGTCAATAAAATAAACTCCATTATTTTTGTTGAAAACGTCACCGAAAATCATATCATACGCTTTTTTTGTTCTAAATTTAATTTCGTTTTACATAACATATCTTCATCAGAAACAGTTATCTCCAATTCATCGAAAATAGTTCTTGAAATATAATTGTTTTCTTCAAAGTTTAAAAGAAGCTCGACAATTCTATACCGATTCACAGTTTTACCTAAAAGATGTAATAATTCATTTAACTCATTCAAAGCTTTTAATTCGGCCATTTTAATAGTTATACCTTGTTGTACATAATCTTTCATCATATGTTGCTTAAATGTATTCCAAAATTTGCTGGGGTTATGGGATCACACAATGTTAAAATCGTAGCAAATAGTTGACGCAACATAATTGGCATTTGATACAGAGAAGCTTCATGTAAACACGTTTCATAATCAGTATCACCATTAAGCAAACCATGTAATAATGCAGCTTCACGAAATGTCGAAGCATGAACTCCATTAACTATTTTTAAATCATCATAAGAACTTGCCCCCTTAACATGATTTAGAAGCTTTCTTAAATAATATCTCTCTTCTTCTATAACATTTACAGAAACAATTCATCCTATAGAAAAAGTTTTATTCTTTCTTTCAGACCATTACATTTTGAATTCCACACAAAATGTTCTGGAAAATCTCTATATAGCAATGCTTTTGCCCTAGCACTGGCAGTGTTAGCACAAAAATATTCTGTTAACATTGACTTCTCGAAAAAAAAAATTTTCCCAACTTCTTCCAAATCATCAAATTCTTTGTAAGTAATGGACTGATAGTTTTCTAAATATAGTTGCAGAGCAATAACAGATGGACTCATATCATACAAGAGAAATGCAAAAATTCTCCACATAGTTTCAGGAGGAGATATCCATCTAGCTAATTTATACATTTTGATTTCATCATAAACAAAATTCGGATCATCCTCATTTACAGTAAAATCAACTTTATCGTAACCTTTATAAACATATTTATACATATATTTAACAGCCTGAATTTTTGAACATACTTCAACATTAATATGAGAATTATACTTTGCTAACAAATATGAATTATATAGAACTACCCACATGTTATCCAAATAATGATTTCTAATCTTTATTTTTATTTTTTTTCCATTATCAAGTC